GGCTCTTTAGCACCGTAGTGTTTGCCGTGGTTACTGTGTAGTGCTTAGGACAAATACCAGGGATTAACGCACCTTTGCGTTAACCCCCTACATCTGTTACTGTTGCCTTATTTACCCGTATCAGTAATTAATAGCTGCTAGCAGATGTCTTAGTTTTGAGAACAAAGAACGGTAAAAGAAGTGCATCGTGACCTGACCGCATGTGTGAGATACTCTCAAGGGGAGAAGATTCGTTAGAAGATCCAGAACCATAAAAGGGAAATTTGGGGAACGGGATGTTCCCGTATGACCTCAAAAGACCCCAAGTCATATTCAAATTACTCCAGTGAAATAGTCGGCACGTATGCATGTATTCGGGAGGCGTGATGAATATGCATCAGAAATGTGATGAATATGTATTAGCGTGATGAAAATGCATTAGTTTCGTGGCTATACCCTGCTCTGTTTAGTTGCTGGGTGTGCATTTCCGTGGAGTTATCCCCGCGCTCCCAGAGCGCTGAGTAAAGGAATGTCGGCTTTCTAACCCAACGAACTGGTTGGAGAGTTTATTTCTCGGCTCTCAGTGTGACAGTCAGAGCCAGGAGAGCTTCCCCTCTCCGTGTGCCCCTGTAAGAACCGGCCCTGCCCCGCGGGTGGGTGTCTCCCTGCCAGGGCAGTGACTGCTCTCCCTCTGTGGGCAGGTGGACACCAGCAGGATCGTCCACATCCACTCCGTGATCATCCTGCGCCGCTCCGACAAGAGGAAGGACCGCGTGGAGATCTCCCCGGAGCAGCTCTCAGCTGCCTCCACCGAAGCAGAGATATCCTTTAGTGCTTCCCCTCACACCTCTGCTGATGGGCTGCGGTTCACACTTGCTCTGCTTGGCTTGAAGCTCTCAGCTGCTCCTCCTGCAGCTGCTGGGCTGGGAGGGCTGTGCTGGCACTTGCCTTTCCCTGGAGTCGGTTCCAGCACGTGCAGTGGAGCTGTGTTATGAAATTTGTGTCGTTTCTGTGTGTTTGGTGACAAGTAACTCTGCAGTGTGTTTGTTGGGGAGGGTGGCACTCCAGCAGGGAGGCATAGTGGGAGATGAAAGGTCAGCAGGTCTCCTGGTGGGGCACTGGGGAGCCTCTTCTCTGCACACACTTGGGAATTCTGGCTTGCTCAGCTGCTGAAATATTCTTTACTGCCATGTGCAAGCAAAATCCAATTTGCTTCTTCAGCAGTGACTCCTGAGGGTGCTGGGGAAGAGGCTCCATCAGCTCCTTGCCACGTGTCTTGTCACCCCTCCAAAGGGACCTGTAATTCTGTTGGATGATGAGAACCTATTTTAAAAAACTCTGCTGTTTTTCCTGGTAGAAAAAACTCCTTCCCTTTGCTCTGCTGGTTCCGAAAGCTCCTTGACTCCCACACAGGTTGGCTGAGATGACAGGACGTCCCATGAGGGTGGTGGGCTGGTACCACTCCCACCCCCACATCACTGTCTGGCCCTCACACGTGGGTAAGAGGAGCCCTGAGCCTGGGTCTGGGTGAGCCCTGAGCTGGGGTCTGGGTGGAACTCCCAGCTGGTTGATTGTGGGATTCACAAGTTCCAGAGCTGCACATTCCAGCAGTTCAGGACTCTGTGTCTCAGACATCCCCTGGTAGGACCAGACTGTCTGGGTGGGCTCCAGGGGCCTCTGTCAGTGCAGCCCCATAACTGTGTGTGCCCCAGGGACTCAAACATGACTCAGAGCAGCTACTGCTGGTGCTACTGTTCTTCCAGATAGAAAAAACAGACCCAGGGTGTGGGGAACAGCAAAAAAAACTGTGGGAATTCTGGGCCTCCTGTGGTGATTTTTGACGTCTGGGCGTGTTAATGCAACACTGAAAAGTTCTATGAAGGAAGTGCACGACTATGTTGTATGTGCTGGACTTTATGGAGACCTGTGGCACCAGGCTGATCCTGAGATCAGTTCTGGTTTTGTGAACTCACCTGGTGTGTTTAAGATTTGCTACTTAATTACATTTTAAATTGGATCATTTTTTTTTTTTAATTTAGTCACTCAGAATAAGGACTTAAAGCTTGTGACACTTGTTACCAAATTCCAGATCACCCTTCAAAAGTTGGCAAACCTTTTCCCACTGCTCCAGGTGACCAGTGCAGTTCTCATTCTCTCATTCCTGTGCCTGCAGATGTCCGTACACAGGCCATGTATCAGATGATGGACCAAGGCTTTGTAGGGCTGATCTTCTCCTGCTTCATCGAGGACAAGAACACCAAGGTAGGAAACTTAAAAATGGCATCAAACCCTCCAAGTGCTCGTGAGGAGCGTCAGGGCAAAGCTGAAGTCCCTGAGTGCACCTGCAAGAAGGAAAGAGCTCTACTGGGGGCACGTGAAAAGCCCAGCTGGAATGGTGGTGTTTGGATTGTGACAGTGACAAATGAACAAGTGTTTAATCCTCTGTGCTGCCCCCAGCCTGCCCAGGGGGGCTGCAGCAGCTGCTGCACTGTGTCTACACTGAGATGGACCAGTGGGCAGCTGTTACTTCAGATTTTTTTATCATTAGAGGGTTTGTCAGTGTCTGCTTTAAGCAGCTCCAGCAGTCCAGTCACAGCAAAAGGTCTGTGCCTTTTCAACCTGTTGGAATTCTGTTTGAAAGCATATTCTGCTTCCTAAAGGAATGTGTGGTTTAGATGGGGTTTTGCACTTGAAATCTGACTTTCTGCTGTCTCTCTCAGACAGGCAGGATTCTCTATACCTGTTTCCAGTCTATTCAGGCCCAGAAGAGCTCAGAGTGAGTACAGCAGAAGAATTTTCTGTCCAGTGTCTGGTTGTATTTCATTTTGGCTCTCAGTATCAGGTTGTATTTCACCTTGTCCCTCCTTTCTGGGTTGTCTCAAATAAGTGGCTTCAGGGCCTGTCATGAGAAGCAAATACTGTTCAGAGATGCCTGCATGAGGTCTCCTGACTTCTTGTGCAGGCTGATGGAAGAGAATGTAAAGTTTAACTTACCCTAGATAATTTATTATCTCAGGATTTGGGGTAGGTTGCTGTAGGCAGGGTGGGGTTTGTGCTGTAACCTGTTGTGTAGAAGCCCCACTTTTTTACTTCCAGCTCTAGAGGCTGAGCCTTCAGGCTCCTCACTGACCACACACACTGTGCAACATGTTGTCAGTACTGACCACCCAGTTGCTTTAGCATCTTATAATTAAAATAAGACAAGTGTATAAAATGCTTCCCTTTGGCTGCCAACTTAGGCATGTGTTCCCAAAAGTGGATGTGCAGTTCTGCCATGTGTTGGACAGACTGTGGTAGGTTGTAAAAGTCGTGTTTTTTCTCTGCTACTTTGAAGTTAATTGTATCTGAATCTCTTTCAGGTACGAAAGGATTGAAATTCCTATTCATGTTGTCCCCCATGAAACCATTGGGAAAGTGTGTCTGGAATCAGCTGTGGAGCTGCCCAAGATCCTTTGCCAAGAAGAGCAAGATGCCTACAGGAGAATTCACAGGTAACAGCAGTGGGGCTCTGCACCTCTCCAGGACTGTCTTTGCTGACGTGTTCTACTGTTGCTGCACCATAACCTTTGCAAAGCTGTAGAAGATGAGAAGGATTAGCAGCTCATGTGCCTCTGTAGAACTGGTTGAATAACTGAGGCTGAGGTTACCAGCAGAATGTGGGATTTTGTGATCACGGGTCAGTTGTCCTTGTGAATGTGCAGCAGGTGAGGAGACTTGGAGGCACCTGTGGTGTGGGCAGTGACTGGCAGGCAGTGGTTCTGCAGCCTGGATTTAATGTGCAGTTCCCTGGCTTGTCCCTGACCTGCTTTCTGTTCCTTGTCGTAGCCTCACCCATCTGGACTCTGTAACCAAGATCCATAATGGCTCAGGTAAGGATTCCCTTTTTGCATGTGACAATCCAGGGTGCTGCTCCCAGAGTCAAAACAGTGGAGTCTTGAGCAGGGCTTGGTTTGGCTCTAAATTTGGGGGGCCTTAGACTACACATGTATAACACTCCTCCCTTTGCCATAAAAGGCCACTGTAAATAGCTAGAAAAGTACAAATAATAGCTTTTTTTTCCCTTGCCACACTCTGAATCACAAAGGCTGTATAACCCAGAGAATTCCCCGAGATAGTTATCTTGTTATGTAAAATCTAGTTAAGGAACAGAACTGAAAGTAAATACTTTATAGGAAAACATCAAAGGCTGTAAAATAACCTAATCCTGGGGTCCATGAATGCTGTTGTGTCCTTCAGCCTTTGTAGAATTGGTTAAAATTACAACAGACTTCAGGATTGTTCGGGTTTTCTGAGTTTGGTTTCTTTAGGTTATTTTTTCTGTTGGAACAGCAAGGGGGATTTGGGATTTGTTGAGAGTTACAGTGTCGTGTGGCTGAGCTGTACACACGCCTGCATCTCCTGGCACTTCATATGAGCTGTGTGGATGTGACACCTTTGCTTTTGCCAGTGTCACAGGGTGAATCTCAATCCCACTTCTGTTGCAAGATAATTATCCCATTATCCATTCTCACGCGTTTAAGAGATGAGGCATTCTTTGATTCCTCTAAATTTAGAGATTAATTAGCAGCAGTGACGACTTGTGTGCAGGTTTCCAGATTTCTGCTGCAGGTCTGTCATCCCTCCCCCGGGTCAGACTGAAATAGCATTTCCCTGTTTATCAAGCTGCTGGTTCTGACATTCCTGAGGGGATGTGTGGTTGGCAGGGCCAGCGTGGTGGAAGGTTTCCTTGGCTGTCTGTGACACTGTTGGCTTTGGGGTGGTTTGTAGCACACTGAGTGTGTTGTGTGCTGCCCTGGCATGATGTGTGGTTGCTCTTTGCAGTGTTCACAAAGAACCTCTGCAGCCAGATGTCTGCCATCAGTGGGCCCCTCCTGCAGTGGCTGGAGGACAGACTGGAGCAGAACAAACAGCGGGTGCAGGAGCTGCAGCAGGAGAAAGAGCAGCTCCTGGAGGAACTCGCTGCTTTAGAGTGAGGAGGAAATGCAGACCCTTCAGAAAAGAGACATGTAAAAAAATCTACACCACCTCCTCCAGGCTGAAGGGTGGCCCTGCATTGCCTTACAGTGAAGGCTGTGCCTCTTCTCCTGCAGCACAGAGCACGTCTCCAGGATAAGGACTTTGTCTGCCCCAGCTTGGAGCAAAGCAGGGCTGTGTCTGCAGGTGCTGCAGTGGTGGGGCTGGGCAGCACCTGAAGAGACTCCTGTTCTGGAGGGCACACAGTAGGGAACATGTTGTTTCTCCCTTCTCTATATTTTGATAGAAGTCTTACTGCTTTACATGTATTCCAGGACCCTGGAACAGGAGGGTTAGAGGGGAAAAGTGTGTCTCTGCAGTCATATCTGATGCTGCCAACTTCTGCCTTCTTTTAGTAGCTTCAGTTGACCATGATCTTATATCTAGTAATGTTCTGGACTGCTGGCCATCCACCCAGGCAGGTAAGAGGTGGGAGGGAAGCTTGGGAAGAAAGAGACCTGGAAGAACTTTGACACAGGATCTGTTCAGCATATGTCAAACCAAATAAAGAATTCCAAAGCTAGAGCTGTTTGGAGTAGAAATGAAATGAATGCTACGAAGTGCCAGTGCCTGCAGTTTTTGGTCCATCTCTGCTCTCTTCATGTGATGCTGTTGTGAGCCCAGCACTGAGGTTCTCTGTGAAATCAGCTGTTTCTGCTGCTTCAGTGACAGGACTGTGGTTCCTCCCCAGAGGGAAGAAGTTTAAGATGCTGGGAAGAGAACTGGTAGATACACAAGCCTGTCGTTCTTATATGCTGAACTTAATTGTTAAAAATCTCTTAAGACTGGAACAAAATAGCTGTTGTTGAACTAATCCTTTAAATGTTCTTGCTGTTGCATTTCAGAGTATCCCCCAGAGTATCATGTACATCCTTCTGTGTTCTGTTTTGTGAAGTTTGTCTCATGTGAGCAAACGGGCAAAGTACAGTTAAAATTCCTGTTTCAGCTCCTTGGTTCTAACCTAAATTCTTACACAGACAGATGAAAATGAGCTGCCTGCATTACTGCAGGGAACATTGTTCAATTCCTGACAGCTCATTGTCTGGACTGTTGCTGTGGGAGAATGAAAGTAAGAGCTGGGAGAGAGGCACTCCCTGTCAGAGAGGGCCAGCATTGATGAGCAGTGTAAAGGGTATCAGATCTGGAAGCCCTGTAACCCCATTGCTTTTGTCAGACTTGACTTTTCAAGCTTTCTGCATTTCTGTTGGCAATCCCCAAAGAGTAGAACTTTTAAGTATAACACTCACTACTGTTTTTTTCCTTAAAAGTGCAGTGAATAGTTATTTTCCTTAGTTTTTGAACAGTCAGTGGGTTTGTGCAGTTGTTTTGGTTACTGGTTTCTAGTTCAAGTGCTCCTTACCCTTATCTTTGCTGGGTAGAGAGGGTGGTGCCTCAGTGTCCCTAGGCTTGATAAGAGCTCCTGAGAGCAGCCCAGGGCCTCCAGTGCAATCTCCCAAAGCACAGCTGGAATGGGGATGGTTGGAATCATAATCCCAATGACAAAAGGAAGTGAAGGGCTGTGCTGATCCACAGCCTGGCTCTCCAGCCAGTAAAGCTGGAGTTCTGTATAACTATACAGCCATGATTAATTTGAAACGAAGCCTGCAGTTCATTGTCACAGTTGGTACAACATTAGCATTTATTGATTATTCAATATTATTACATTCCCTGAGCAATTTGCATACAGAAGACACACATTCAGTCATATTTTATGTGAAAGACTTAAATCATCTGATTAGACCTCCCCCCCTTCTGTGGTGGAAAGTGTTTGAATTTGCCTTCCCTACCCTGACCTCTTGCATCTATTTTAGTTTCTATGAAATCTCAATGACTGAGGTACATTGCATTCACATTTTCAATCAAAGAGCTTCAGTCTCACTCAAGGCCAGAAGGCCTTGTAAAAACTCACTTCTTCTAACAGATTTAAGCCACCATTAATTTTAACATTATTTTAACCACTAATTTCAATGAATTTAACAAAACCCACTTAATTTTAACAAAACCAGCCAAGGCTCACTCACTCAAGAGATATTCTCCCACATGGGAGAATATCTGAACCCATGTTGAAGCCCAACTCTGGTCTGCCCCTTTTCCTGCCTGGAAGTCATTCAGATAGAATCAGAGGGCTGGTGGGCCTAGACTTTCTTTCACCTGGCAATCCCAGACAGATGCACACCCAGCAGTTTCTCAGCATATACACAGAGCCTACAGCATATCAGGTACCCAGATGGAAGAGTAAATCCATTGCTCACTGGAGTCACTGAAGACATGCTGTGGAGCACTATGGGCAAGTGCTGCTCAGAAAATTCCAGCCAAACATCCAGTCCCAAAGGGGGAAACTGGAACTGCATCTTCCCAGGCACAGGTGGTGTTCCTCTGAAGTCTAAGGATGCCTGACTTGTGCATCACCCTGGACTAGCTGTCATCATTTTTGCTCACTCTTGCCCATTTTAGAAAAGGCCTTAAGGTCTTTATTAGAAGTACTTAGCACTAAAATATTACAATTATCTGGAATCCTCTGAAACAATTCTTAGACTCACGTTAGACTCATCTACTACTCTATATACAAAATTTAAGTGGCATCAAGTAAGGAAATCTATTGAGATATTAAAAGGAATCATCAAGCCTGGTTTTCAAAGCGAAATCAGCACCGAGTTTCCTCATGACCTCTGCATGGCTCAGCCCCTGCTGCTCTCTCTTGGCCAGTCCGTAGTTTTCCTTCACATACTTGGCAAAGGGTGTGAGCTGTGTCCTGGCAGGAGTGCCCCCCTTGCCCGGGGGCTGGCTGAGGGCCAGCCGCCCCCCGCAGAACGCGCACACGAACCGCTCCGTGTCCAGGGACTTGGAGTGCCGGCCGATCCTGGAAGGGAAGAGTCAGGACTTGTGGGAAAGGGCTCCTTTCTCTTCTGCCTGGACACTCAAGTCAGGTTACTAAGCCAGTATTTGAGAAGAGCAAACAGTACCCCCTTCACACAGCAGAACAATCAAATCTGTATTGCACATCTCTATCCTAGAACTTACTCCACTGCCTTTTGAGCTTGGTCCCTCCCTCTGTCTCTTTTACTCTCAGCCCACGAGTATGAAGTGCTACAACATCTGCAAACACCTCCACAACCCACACATCAACTGTCCCTTGGAGTTTCTCCTCAGAGCCATCACCAAAAATCCTTCTCCATGCTCTGTTGCATCTAAGCAACTTATGCATTGTACAGTCCTAACAAACACCTCAAGAAAATTCCATATGTGAAATGTTGTTTCCTTCTGGGAGTCACATGATCCTGAGAGGTAAAAAAAAATGCCACATATGCTTTCTAAGCATGCATTTAGCCCCTAAATTTTGGGGAATGGAGTGGTACGATAATAATAATAATAAATAACACTCTTGTCAGCTGCTTTTTTTTAGTCTTAATTCAAAATCATCAAGATACAAACCCTAGAAAGCTTCCTCTGATACTTTGTTGTAGGATCTAATTGTTGTCACACATTCTGTGCCCAGTTTTTATGGGGACTTGTTCCTTCAAAGCTGAGGGGCATACATCCCAAAGACCCTCCATCATCACCAGTGGTACTCACAAGACACTTCTGCCTGTCCTGACCTCTGAACTAGAACTGAAACTACCTGGAAACAAACGTGGGAATCACACAGTGAGGTTCTGTGGGCTCTGGAAACATGAAGTAACTCAGAGTATCCCAACTGCTTCACAGTTTAAGAGACCCATGATTTCTAGACCCAGGAGACCGGCAAGTTAAAGTGAATACACGGTCACATGCACATCAAAACGTTACTCACTTAGCTTTGCACTGAGCACACTCGTAGGTGAATTTGCAGTTGATCTCGTAGCTGTGGCACCGTGTTACTACTGGCAGCTCTGGATGAATTACAGCTGATTTGTTGGCATAGAACCTCCAGAACCGCCCGTGTCCGTCACGAACACCGTTGATGAGCCAGGTGGCCGCGTGGCAAACCTCGTGGATCAGCGTGTCCCGAAGGCGATCTGCAGGGAGAGCAAACACAAGATTAAGGTCAGTCAGGTGTGGGCAAGTACAGACTTACTAAGATGCAAGGGTTATTTTGGAGGTTAGAGCTACCACTGTCTTGGTAAAATGCTCCAAAGCAAGGTTTCCCTTAGTGCACTTCCAGTTTTGTGATTAGCTCCAATTCAGCACCCTGCACTTCCCTGCACACCTGATGTGTTTCGGGTTTTTTTTCATTGGTTGGTTAAGCCTTTGTCACTGTTTCCTACAGCATTTTCCTGGAGAAACTGGCAGCCCATGGCTTGGACAGGTGTATTCCTTCTTCACTGGGTAAAAAACAGGCTGGATGGCCAGGCCCAGAGAGTGGTGGAGAATGGAGTTACATCCCCCTGGGGCAGGTCACCAGTGGTGTTCCCCAGGGCTCAGTGCTGGGGCCAGTCCTGTTTAACACCTTTATCGATCCCTTTCAATTAAAACCATTTTATGATTCATTTCCCCAAACTAGGAAGGGATGAGGGAGAAAAAACAGTTACAGTACCACTTAGTAAAAGTTAATTTGGCCCTGACCTGTCTTTACTCCAGCTTTAAGTACTACCAACAAGGTGGCTGGCTGTGATGGAAGAAGTCTGATTTTAGACTGCCATTACAGCACATACAGAATTAGAGTAACATGATGCCTATGGGTCTTCAAATCAATAAGAAATATAAACAAAATACTGCAGTTAGTGTGAATACATCTCTGTTCTCATGTTTTGTACGTTTGCCCAGCCTCTTAGAAGGGCTGTGGAATGTGGATAAATCCATCAATTAATGGATTTATTTATTCAAGGTAATATGAAATTTCAAAGTAGGGTCCAGTTCCAGGTTTCTTAGGCCTCAGGTTAGTGTTTTTATCTCTAGAACTTGCTTTCTTAAAGGAGAATCAACATAATTGTTCTTTTACCCACCTACAGAGTCACAGACTTTCTCAGAAAGTTCTATGCGAGCGTAACGCTTTTGTTGAGGACCTGTCTGCCCTGTCACACAATATCCTGCTGTTTTTCTCATCTTCTTATTCCAGATTATCTCCATTGTCTCTGGTAACTGAAAAACAAAACAGGACATGTAATCTGCCCTCTCTACCTCTCTTATCTTCTGGCCTCTGGCTTCCCCTTGTATTTGCTGCAAAGCTGGCACAGGATGTCTCAGTGCTCCTAACACTGTTGTCACTTAACATGCAAACTCACCCCCCATGGCTGCTTATTCTCACAATTAGTGTCTCTGTAACCAACACTGGGAGTTCCACAATGCAGGATGAGACCAGAAGTCCCTTAGTTCCTCTGTTCTACCTACAACAGTGGCTAAAACAAGCTGCTTAAGAAGAAATACAAGGACAGGACAGGCATAAACCACAATTTCCTCTTCAAAAAAAAGTACCTCTTTCCAATTGCTAACCACTAAGCCACAGGTGGTTCTTTTCTATTAAATATCCATTAGAGTGGTTTTCTGGTGTTTTGGGGAGAAAGAGTCTGTATGTTTAAGAATACATAAGTATTTTTAGCATCTACAGTAGTCTATGATCAGAAGTTCTACAACTTAATAATTTACAGGTTAAGTACCCTCTGCTTTGGTTGTGCTGAACCTGCAACTTGCAATTAATTTGATGCACCTTAACACCATGAGAGGGTGAATAATCCCCCCTTGTTTATCTTCTGTGCTGCCCCTGATTTTGCAAGCCCTCATCATATCTATCTTAGTTAGTTCAGTTCTTTTACTAACAGTTTTCTGTCATCTAAATTAATGAGCTTAAGTAAAGGCTTCAACAGCACAGGCACAGGCGCAGGGCTGTCAGATATTTTGCTTTCAGCAATAATAAGCCTGTTCAGCTCAGCTTTATGTGAAATCATGACCTCAGCCTGCCCTTGGTCAGCTCAACAGTATCTTCTCATCTGCAGGGAAACGTTTTCCTTCCTGAAGGAAATTCTATTGGAATTACTGAGGACAGCATCCTTCCTTTCAAGGGTATTTTTCACCCCAGCAGAGGGTCCCCAATATCCCAACAGACGTGAAGGCCAAGACAGCAGTTCTCTGAAATTTAACCTTAAATTTGAAACACAGCTTGAAGCTTTATGCTCATGCAAAACTGTTATTCAAAGGATAAGCACCTTTTTAATCTGTTCCAGAAAGGCAGACATGGCCATGGAAACAGAAGGATCTGATGGAACTGATCCAAGGGCCCTCATACAGCAGCTTCTCCCATCAGGGACTCTTGGATACCACCCAGACTGCTGACTCAAGGATGGTGCTCCATCCACTACAGCTGGGAAAGCAAAGCCACGCTGAAAACTGCTGCATCACTGTGGTGGCAAACCCCTTCCAGAGAAATGGCCTGAGCTAAATCAGACATAAGACATTACTATAATGTTTGGCACTGAAGAGGATAAAGAGCAATCACATCAAGAAGTGAGGAGCAACATATTAACCAGCATTTTAGAATAGTAATTCTCGTTTTTAAACCAACCTTCTGATCAAAGATGGTGCTGTTAAACAGTCTGTAGAGCTTCTGTGCCAGCTCCTCTTTATTCTTCTTGAAATACTTCACGTAGTGGGAAGTGGGATTTGAAAGATCTTGCAAGAAACAATCAGGCACTGAGCATACCCTGAGCCTGCAAGAAAAGTCATAAAGCTTTTGTAAAGAAGGTTTTGTGTTGGTAAACACAGTTATAAAATGACCAAAGGAAACAGCACATGGCTAGAAGGCAGACTAAAGGCAGTTGTTAGAAATGAGAAATGCATTCTTCTGAAAAGCTTAAGCTGCATCCACATACAGAAAAAGAAACATGAATTCTGCAAGTTAGAGAGGTTAAAAAAAAAATCAAGACAATCTTGTTAATAGAATCAGTTTGGATATATTTTCAGAGGCAAGCAGCTGGATATATACAATCTGTGGGGCCAACACATTAGAGGTGTGCTGTACCAAGACAAGGAATAGCAAGAAAACATTTACAAAGAAGATTTGACATTTGTCAGATATATTTGCCATCAATTCCTCTAAGCAGAGATCAGCTATATTCTCCCTGTCACACTGGAGACTGAAAACTTTGATTTCCAGCTACTTAATCATTCATAATTGCTGGATTAGTAGCAGAAGTTTCTATATACCAGAGGAGTCACTACATCATCCTAGGCAAAGGATGTCCATCTATAAATGCCCTAGAACACAGTAAAAATGGAGAAACACTCACCTTCTATCTGTCTTTGCTGATTGTGAGCAACTGACCAATTCATTCCCAGGAATTCTTGCAGGAGTCCTTGTCTTGGAAGATATTTCTGCAACTGAAGTGGAGTTTGGCCTTGGTATCTTGACTCCCTCCCCTTTCAAAGGCTGTGCATCTTTGCAGGGTGGCTTGATGTTTTCTAGTTCAACAGAAAGAGTCACAGGATTACACATTGTCCAAGAATCAGGAGCACAGACACCAGCAACCCACTGACAACACTGAAAAAGCCAAATATTCCACCTCAGAATAAACTCCTGCTGTGCACACTTGAAGGCAAAGGCTTTTACAACTGATGGAAAGGTAATTTGCTGTTACATACTACAAATATTACCATTCAGTGAAGGAGTGGTAGGCTCCAAACTTTCAAACATTCAGCAAGGACGAAGTGGAAGGAAAAGTATTTGTGACCTCACTCAGGCATCCCTAAGTTATGTGTTATAGAGCATAATTCCTGAGTTATAATGTTATAGAACATAATTGATATATTCCAATTAAAAAAAATTTGCTCTTTCCCAGGGCATATTTCTGTGCTGTACATGATCCTCTTCCAGAGGTCTCCTTGCTCTGGCCAGGCATTGTTAGAAAGAAAGGCACCCTGTGTTTACTTCTCTAGAAAAACATTTGTTTTCATCTGCTCTCATCTCAGCAACAGTCCTTTTCCCCCTTTTCAGTCTTTCAGTTGAGGCTCATTTCAGCTTGTCAAAGGAGAGGAGGAGGTCCTGATTTAGGAAATTCTCATTATAAACTGTATTTTTAAAAAAAAAGATGAGTCAAGTATAAATCCAAATACTAAACGAACAGCATTCTGAACTGCTGAAAATTTCAGTCCTAAAGTCCTAAAGTCCTTCACATTAAGTATCATACATTAAAAAAATCAGAATAATTCAATACCACCAGTTACATAATAATTTTTTAAAATTAATTATAATTTTTAAAAATAATATTTAAAACTAAAAATGCCTACAAGAACAAACAATAGTGAAAACCTTAAACCTTGACACCACAGGGTGACTTTTCAGAACACTCAGAGGAGTAATTTCTGATTGCACCAAATCCAGCTGCAAGGTGCTGGGCTGCCTCCCAGAAGTCTGTGCCACACAAATGGGAAGAGTCAGGCAATCAGCACTGCCACTGCAAGTTAGCCCTGAACAACTGCTTACCTGCTGAACTGGGCTGATAGATGGTTTTATTTGTGCCTAAGACTGGTTTTTGGGGCAGACTTCGCTTCTTTACCCGTTCCATTAATGATTCAAAGCTGTCATCTGAGCTGTCTGACTCTACTGCCACAGTGGGCAATTTATTTTCTGTGCTCTTCTCACAGCTTCTTTCTTTCCTTCTAACAGGCAAATCTGGACTGCCTTTGGAAACTGACTCTTTCAGATTTTGTGGAGGTGAAAGTTTTGTGCACCTCTGACTCTCTTTCCAGTCTTTTACTCCCCCTTTTTGGTGGTCAAGCCAAGGACTTTCTACAAAGACAGAATCCTCAGTGTCACTTGAACTCTCTCCATAATGCAATTCTTGGCAGCAAGTGCTTTTCTTTCCAGAACTCATCAACTTCCTGGGGGTCTGAAGATCCTTTGGTGCTGCAATCCGAAAGAAAGAGCTTAAGGTTTTGGCAGTTGCATTTAGGAGACCTGCATTTGTCTTAACACAAAAAAAAATCCCTTGAAAGATAGGAAAATACAAATAGAGAGGTATCTCTGCATTTGCTTTACTCTGCCCTGCTCATTTACCATTTTACTACATGAAAAGTCACTGAAAGATGTATTTAAATAACATAGCCTGCCAACAAACAATGCTTCTGACATCCCAGATTTGTCCTGTCAAGATCAAGGGATCACATCAGATCTACAGGTGACGTTTTTTTTAGTGATGCTTCTGGTCCATTTTGCTTCACCCATTTCCCCTCCAGACACCATTCCATTGGCTTTCTACAGCTTTTCCCAGTCTGCAGCTGGCACACACTTTTCAGGGTTCACATTCACACCAGCTGAAAGAGATCCTGCCCCTCCTGATCAGGGGTCAGCTCTCTCAGAGATTTATGCTACCTTTCCACTCATTAAAATTCCCACTTCATATTTGCTGTTGCACAATTACTTGCCATTCTTTTTTGTGCTCTTTCTCGCTTTAAAGTCCAAGAAGAAATCATCTGAGTCATCAATGAAGTCTTTCAAACTGTAAAAAAAAAAAAAAAAAAAAGGCAATTGTGAAAAAAGGTAGGATAAAGGAGGAAAATGCAAGACTAAATCTGCCCTACTAAAAAAGCAACCCAAAAAAAGCCTCCAAATATAACATTATTATTGTTCACAACAAATGTTACCAACTACATCCATAAACAGGAATGGCAAAGGAGCATTTACACCTCCAAACATCCCATTTTTATCTCTGTCCTGAACATACAGACTGGACACATAACAGTTCTCTCTACACTCACTCCTATACAGGTATCTGCCCACGAATCACTAGAACTTTTGATTGTTTTTCTTGTATTCTGATTAGTAAATACGATACAGAAAACTATTTTATGAACACAGAAAAGTAATTAATTACAGCACCCACCTTGCATCTGCCTTTTTAGGAACACTTTTGGGAGTTTTCATTCTGGCTAAAACTAAACCAAGAGGAGATTAATTAGGAACAAGGTTCTGTTTCTTTTCTTAGGCATTTTTAAGTTTGCAACTAGTAAAAATTAAAGTCTTTAAAAACCACAAACTTTTCTCTTGGCCCATATTTTCACTTCAGTCTTTCCTACAACTGGCACTACAGTGACAGGATGGCAGTAGAATGGCTTTGCAAATATTCTGCTCCCAGCCCCAAGTAGTTCTCTCAGCCCCCTTCCATGACAGAGGTGGCACATCACTCAGCAGCCTCCCTGAAAGGAGCCAGGGGAAGGAGGAGACTGTCAAATATAAAAATTACAGAAAAGTGAAAAATGACCTAATGAATGGGCAGTATGGAAATATTTATCAGACTTAGAAGTCTAGAAGTAGTGCAGGATCTATATACAGCACATTTTGCTTCAGCTGGTAGTAAGGCCTGACAATCTTAAGATCATTCACATGGCACTGAGCTGGAGCACAGCAGGAACTCCAAAGCAATGAGAAACCTGCTTCAAATGCAGCTGGACCAGCACAAGAGTGATATGCAAAGGGTAAAATAAACAGGTACAACTTACTGCCTTAGCAATTCTACCATCTCTGTTAAATATATAAGGAAGAACATATTGCAAGATTTACAAACCTATAAATTACTTACCAGTTTGAAACTGAGATGTGGCAGAGCCATGATTAGTCCAGCTAACAAATGAGCTAAACAGAACTCTTGCAACAGGAAAAAACCCAACCAGTGGGCACTTAACTACTCCAGCACACAGTGATAGTTACAGTGGCTGTTACCATTTGTTTGCAAAGGCTGAACAAAAAGATTGGTTGGTTATGCACCACAGAAGCCACCATGTACAATTTAGTATTCAATTCTATCTTACCAAGACCTTGAGCCACTGTGACAACTCAAAAACATCCCTCTGACTGGTTAAGACTAATGCAATAAAAGCTGTGTCAGGTAAGAGGGAATTGTGAGTAGTTTAGAACAGTAACTACTCAGAGAAAAGGTTTATTCAAAGATGCTTTGTAGACTAAGAAGAAAGCGAGTGAGTGACAGGGAACAGATAAAACTGAGGCAACGACAGAAATGTAATGCAAGGCAAAAACCACCCAAAACTGAGGCAAATTAAAAACACTCCCTGTGGCATACAGCCACCAAGACTGCACTGCAAGGACAGAATGTACTTTGCAGCACAAGCAGTGGAAGAAAATAACGTGTAAAAACACTCCACTATAACTAGAAATGTGTCCTTCTCATACTCCAGAAAACAAACTGACATGTGCTATGACTTACATGGCTCAAATTCCTCATCACTGCTGGAAGACAAGCACAGGCCGTGGCTGCAAAAAATGAAATGCAGAACATTAGGTCAGTGGGAAGTAGACCTGCATCTCCACTGGCCTGAAACACCTGTGAACACCCAGAATCAAATATGGACTGGAAAAAACACTGAACATCACAAATAGGCTGAACTATTTTAACTGTTTAAAACAGAAATGTTATAAATTTTAATATATAAGTTCTAGCAACCATATATGTTCCATGTAAGTAGCAATCAATCCTCAAAATTTGGAACACTGAACCATTTGAAGGCACAGGCTTAGGATATTGCGTTTCTTTCAGTTCAAGTTGGATATCAGAAGGCAGAAAGGATAGAAAGCTTGTTTTTATCTTACACATGGTCTGTGATCTGGGAGAGAAGTGTGTTACAGTAAGGCTGAAAGCTGAAAGCATGCACTGATGAGTACTCAGCTGCTTGTGTATGAAATGCACTCTAATATGGTTGCCATGAATATTTAACACAGTGCAGCAGCTCTCACAAAGCTCTGTCAAGAGGCAGAACGGAAGCATTACCACCAGCCTGCAATCCTCACACAAATGCTGAGGCAAGCTGCACTCCCCTTACCAAATTATTGACTTCATTTTCTGCCAACCACCAAACATCAACAACTTGGAAAACACACTAAGCAATTTGCTTAAAAACAGGAAGACAGCTTCTTTTTAATTAAAGCTATTTAAACTTTAAAGACTGTAATTGTGAAACGTGCTAATAGATACCAACTGCCATGGAACAAATGGGAGCGTAATCTAAAATTTATATAAATCACTATAAATAATTATTATAGCATATTGTCTATATAATATAGTATAACATATACTATGCAAAATAT